GGGAAACCTCCAAAAAAATTACAAATTTAAAAATCGCTAATTTTCAAAATTTTTTCAATTTTTTTTACTTAAAAGTGCCTTAACTTTTTCAAAAATGAACGTATCAATATAATTCTTTTTTATATAGATGCATATTATTATTACCTTTCATTTGGTATATATTTATCACTCTTTATACTTTTTTTTATTTAGATTTTTTTAATAATTTACGTCAGATATTATAGTTATACTTAATAGTTATATCGCATTCAAAGTATAGCGCACGACAAAACTAATGGGATATTTCTGATAATTATTAGAAAATCTCTACATTTTGAAATAGTAAATATTTATCACTCTTTTTACTTTTTTTGTATTTAGGTTTTTTTTAATAATTTTCGTCAGAGATGTTCATAATGAAAAAATTTAATAAAATAAATCGTATACGACATATTGCATAATTTTATATTATTTAATTTATATTTTATATAACTTTTGGAAAAATGTATGGATCAATATTATTATATTTTTATAATAAATATTTATATACCCTTTTCATCTGGCACGCTTTTTTTGTAAGTCGGATCATATCCCTTTAATAAGGGGGGTCAAAACTTTAAACATACTTATTGTTACTAAGATATTTTCAATTTAATTTTTGAAAGTATTCCAGAAATACTGACACTTTTATATATATATATCTTTAATTAAAGCTTATGTAATATACTTCAAAAATTTGCTATTTTTGTGTGAAAATTCTGGGTTTTGTATTTTATTTTAAAATATCTGACTAGGTTGGTTGAACTTCGCATCGAAGCTAAAAATAATAATAATAACTTATCTCAATATTAACATAAAAATTCCAACTACATCAAAAAAGTTATTAAAAAAACAAATTATTAATAAATCGTTCATTAAACGTATTAACGTCATGGGTGCATTTTTAAGTCTGAACGGATGCAAACGAAACTAAAATAGGTCATTTTTTGTTATGCATAATGCATTCGCGTACATTTTATTGTGATGAGTGTTGTCAATAACCCGATTTTAAATCGAGTGTCAGTAGTATATGTATGACGGGTACGGACCTTCAAAGGTGCCGTCACCTATTGTTCTTAGAATAGTACGCTTTTGTTTTGGGAAAACAATGGGTACACAGGTGAGATGCAGTCCGCTTTTTTTTTTTTTTTTACACGACCGGCATTACTTCAGGGCGGCTCACGATGTCTTAATAATGGAATGGTCCATAAAGTTTCCATCATCGAATAATTTATTCAAGTTTTTCCACCCTGCTGATTGTAACCATACGACATCGTTGGGCGTGAACAAACAATACCTACTTTCATAGTTGTAGTCACACTAACGTTTTTTCCCTTATCAATTTCTTTTTTGTTGAACTCAAAGCGAATTTCATCGAAAAGATTCATCATACAGTTATAATTCATTACAATGTTACATACTGCTCCTGCGGGTTTTGCAATACCCCTCTCTATTTGCAAGTAAAATTTGTAGATATTCCGTCATTGTTGGCGACGCGACAGGCAAGTGATTTTAAATATGTAATATTATGTCTCGTAGGATTCCTCAGAGTCACACAGTTTGCTCGATTCGCAGTCCAAGAACGTTTGACGGAACCATCATCGTAAGGTATCGACTTGGGCTTCACTGATGATGATATCGTCGTAGTTTTTTTAAACTATATTTATTTAATACATTTTTTTGTTAAAAGCGTGTGGTCATTTAAATAATCAACAATAATTTTGTATATAATTTTTTTTGAAAGCCAGTCTATGTAATATAGTTTTTTTATTGATTCATAATTATTTGAATATTTACACAAATTCATTGTTAGAAAACATTTTTTACAAAAAATTAAACAAAATGAAAATTTTTTATGAATAACAATAATAGATAATGTCAATGTAAAATGTCAGTCGTCAATTCCATTTAAAAAATAATGAAGCACATACTCGTCTTCTTCTATTGAACAATGTAATAATGTTCCTTCTACTACATGGCAAAGTATTCTTGATAAATTTAAAGGTTCACAATTTAAGAATTGAGAAAATTTTTTGATATCTACAACAGTTGAATATTTTCTTTCATCTATAATTAGATATTGATAATAATATATTTTTTAAATTAATGTGTTTTAATAATATCTTACTATTTTGTTTTCTATGATTAACTACATCAAGGTCACTAAAATGTGTATCAACGGTAGATAGTAAATTTGATACACTTAAAATCATTTTACCAAAAGAATTTAATGTCACTGTTAATCTTGGTCCAATACGTTTCATATTATCTACAACGTGTCTTACAACTCGTATCAAAGGCAATACAACACTAATCTAAAACAAATTTTATTTAGTGTACTGATCTTTATTAATTTTTACATATTATATTTTTATATTAATAATGAACATATAAATCTTCTACATTACAAAATGGTCTTTTTTATATATATAAACTTATGTTTAAATTTTTAGATTATAATGTCAAGATTAACATAATGTTTAGATATTTACTATCTATATTATATTATGTTTATACTTTGAAATAGATATCATATTAAAAAAAATCATGAATTTTAAATAATATTTTATCCATTTATGGGTTTTATGTAAAATTAAGTTAACAGTTTTTTGTTCCACTGAAAAAATGATAGATGTAACAAAAGAAGCCATTAAATATAATCCCAGATATATATTTATTTTGTAAATAATTCGGTGGGTTATTATCACCCAGTATAGATATGAGAGATTATAAAATATTATCAGTTTACTTCTGTAAATATAAGAAAAATCAATAGAACTGATATTCAAAATGTAACTATTAGATTCATTCATTTTATTTAAAGGAATATTGAATTACAAAATAAATAACTTAAGAAAATAAGTTCTTGTTTATAGAAGTGAACCAAATTTATAGATACTAGAATATTTTAGATATTCATCAGTTGTAGAAAAGAAATTATTTTTTTATTATTTTTATCATATTTTAATACAGAGTTAAGTAATTTTGTAAATATATTTATTATAAATAAATAATACGCACATTAGGACTTGGAATAGCAGGTTCACTATATTCAGACCAATCTGATGGAGCTATAATATTAACTGGAACATCATGGACACAAAGCTGCTTAGTTGATACTAAAGATTCCTAAAAAAAATATGACACAATCTTATCAACAATAATTTATTATTACTTATATGTTATAAACAAACCACTTATTAGAGATACCAGATATATCTTTAAGTAATGTTACAATGTAAATATAGGCCACAGTATATATTTATTTTTAGTCTTTATAATTGAAATGAGGTAATTAGTAGATCATCTGATGAAAATTTTTACCACAATGTTAACAATCAACAAATGGTCTTGAACTATTTGCTCCATTTCCTATCAGTATGTAGTCATTAATTTTTTCCTTTTGCACAAATAAATTTATCATCAATATCTATAAGAAATTCCTGAGAAATAATACATAAAGTGCAATAACAAAAAACCCCTAAAGTATGAATACAGCTGACCAACTCATTTACAGAAAAATGTCTGCAGGTTAAGCCTAACAATGAACATGATTTAAAAGCTCAATTTATAGTAAGAATTTTCATAATGTGATTTACAATTATTACACATTTCTTAAACATTATTGTCTATCTATCTTTTCAAAAACAATTTCATTCTCTTCGCAAAAAGTTTCCAAGTCATCTCAATCTGTTTATGATTCTTCAAGAGTTTCTAGTAAATACTGACAAATAATTTAAAAATAAAATATAGTATGACTAATTACTTATACTAATTAAAAGCTGAGTAAATGATTCAAAACATTTTTAACAATGATTGTCATAGCATTAGTATTTTTTATCAAACAAATATATTCAATCCCTCACTTTTATTCCCAGTCTTGCTTCCTATGATAGGTACATATACACTAAAAAATAACAATATACTAAGGCTCATATTAACCTTACATTTCGAACAACTCATTCCATATAACACAATCGCAAAATTAAAATTAAAATTATTTATAATTTGTAATATATTTACATTATTTATTTAAAAAAAGATATTAATGTGGTTTATCAATAATAAATTAAAAATATTTTGGAAATTAATGTTGTTCTTTAAAAAATTAACTCAAATACAAAATAACTAACCAATTCTAACTCGACCGTTAAACAAGGAGAAAGCTTATCTGTTAGTTTCATTTTAAGTGTTTTTACTGAATTTGTTTGTTTAGCTGAACTTAAAGATGATGCTAACATATCTGTAATAAAATTACTCTTATAAATACAATGTTTAAGTTAGTAAATAATGAGAAAGTAAGCTGAAAAATATTATACACATGCTTCCAAAACTTTCCGAAAACCAAAAAGATAAAGTGAAAAGTAAATAAAAATAAAATTCTTTACCACCAAATTTTTTTTAAGATGTAAAAAATGCTACGCTTTATTCAAACATATATATATATATATATATATATATATGTTATATATGCAAACATGGATATATCCTCAAGCACTTCAAGCAACAAGACAATCCATGAAAGCTTTAACACATTCATGCTACGCTTTGTTTAAACAATTATAATACATTGTCAAAATCTATACTATTTCCAACTCTAATGACGTCTATTTCCTACTTCATTACATTTAATAAATATGTGATATTACTTTTCAGCATTCTCTCATATAATATAAATTATATAATAAATTTTAACAAAGATGTCAAGTACTCTGTATATTGACTATTTTATACATACAACCAACAAAAATAGTAATTTTAAACAAATAATATTAATAAAACCATACCAATAGGTAAACTGAAAAATATTTCATTTTTTTCTGTATCACCACTCATACTGTATTCTTTAAAGAATGATTGTTGATCTAAAACAGACCAAACACTTATTTGATTGCTGACACTTACTGATTCATGTAATGCAATTAAAAACAATTTTTTTTCACTTAACCTTACAACAACAATTTTACAAAGTTTAGACAATATCATAACAATATCTGTAACAAAAATCATAAATTTTAAAACAATGATTAAGTTTGTATAATGCAGTTGTAAAATAAAAACTTTATTATTAGGCAGCTCGTTTATTTTATTTAAAATAAAGATGTGATATATATATATATAAATACAAAAAAGAGTTTACTATAAAAAATTTGTATCACAAACTAATATATTTATCAGTATATCAATTATAAGATTGTAAACAGTGGTAAGCCAGCATTTTTTGATGGGAACTTGATACTAATAGATTTTGCCTCGCTGATTGTAGTGTGATTTTTGTCATATAATTTAGCTTAGGAAATACAGATAGAATCACAATGAATATTTTGACAGATTAAGGTTATAATGAATAAATATTTTTGTTTTTTTAATTTCACTAAGTTTCAACCATAAAAAAAAATGTTTATAACTATTTTATATTATTAAATTATTTTATTCAGAATATTACCATTTATAAATTTTATGGTGAAATTTAATGTTGGAATACTAAGAATACATAGTATATACTTATAATACATGTTAAGGTACTAAATGCATAAAAGGCAAAACACCAGAATCCTATCTCTATGTACACCACTGCTCTAATAACAAATATATCAATGTATTTTTGAAAAATTTATTAAAAAGTTACAAATTTTCTAAATTTGACTGATATAGAGAAACCGTAGTAATTTTATATTATAATTATAATTATAATTATATTTCAGAATGATATCTATTTATAAATTTTATTTAAATAACTTCAAAGAGTTCCAAGTTTGTGAAACTTTGTCATAGGATTATATAGGACCATAGAAATATGTTTTGTTTTAAGGAATTAATTTCATCCCAAAACTAAAACCTTGTTAACAACACGTTATTAAGTTTTCAAGACAATTAATACAAATTTGTACTGATGGTGTTTTCGAAATAACTTCACAAAATGTATTAAATGCATACAATCCGGGCTCCAAATATAATTATCATTATACAATTTTAGATACCATGAAAATTATCTTACTATAAAATTGTCTCATACAATGAGGATCGACAATTTTGCCTCGAAACTTCATACTCCAACCAAATACAATAGTAACACTAGAATAATTTAAATAAGAAATTTTTAAAATATTGTATTTTGTAACGAATGTGTTAAAGTATTCAAACTGTGATAACTGATATCAGCATAATGTATGCAGCTTTAGATAATTAGAAAAAATAAATATTACACTATTACACATTACAATTATAACTATAAAATATTTTTATATACCATTATAATAAAATATACTACCATTAAAATTATAGATAAAATTAATAAATATAAAAAATATTTGTTTTTTAAAAAAACTGTTGTAACCATATTATAATTGATTAATGTTATGTGTAAGTAATTTTTATGACTTGACGTTCTATCCTTGTTCTCCGCTATAAATCGGACTTGAATAGGATCTAAGTAGTATAATATATGTACACAAAAAATAAATATTATAGTAATATAACTCAGCTTTGAGCAGAGGCACATTTTAAAACACAATTCCCTGTGATGAACTGGGTGTTCTTAGTCCAAGTTCGATCACGTGGATAAGTATTGTTAGGAAGATTCAAAATAATAACAATTATAATGTAACATTTACTGTTAAATGATTGAACACTGACCACTGAATCAGTATTCAGATACCTTTTTATTAGAAATAATGTCATTAACAATTAAGGATATAATTAACATGAAATTTACAGTATTAATAATTACTTTCTAAATATTAATATAATACTTTCTACTGTTACAATAAATTTCTTATAACTAATTAAAATAAAATAATTATAGGTTCACGACATCATCACCCTTAGAGAGAAATAATATATAAAATAATATTTCTAAAATCCTTCACAGCCACCGCTCACTGTAAACCGGACCGTTACACACACGCGTTATCGTCATGGTGTAAAGTCCAATAAATTCCTAGCGTCGAATATCCGCCGCAATAATATGTCGAGTAGTCAGTCACCCTCGAGACACAATTTTTAGAGTTTCGTCGTCCGTTTTACAAACAACTAACTTTTTCTGGCAGTATAGAAGTTAATATATTTTGTCTTAGCTTTTTTTTTTCGCCTTTGTTTTTCTATTAAACATCGTTCTGTCATGAACTTCTTTTTTTTTGTTGTCATTATTTTGTTAACACGTCATTTAAATAAACGGCTCGACGCCACCTACGGTTATTAACAAAAAGGTGTTAAAACTTATTGTGTGCCACACACGTCCACCATTTTACCTCTAACAAATTTTAATACATAATACATTTGAATCACAATAGGATACAAAGTAAATTGATATAAGTTAATAGAAAACAATAATACAAAAATAATATAGGATAAATAATTAACAGTTTTCTTTTCATATATATGAACACGTAACATATTTTAAATAACATAAATACATAAAATAATTTATATTGAAAACATGTATTATAAATTCTAAACATCCAGAAATTATAAAAATATAAAATTTAAAAATTTGTTAAAATAAGATTTCTGATAATTTCCTGTTATTTTAAAATTAATTAATATTATGTTTCTAATCTAATAAATTTATCAAGTCAGTAATACGATACTCAAACATGATTTTGCATGTTTATACATTTTTTTTATAATAATAATAATAAGCACTATTTTTATATCTAGTCTTTCTAAAAGGCGCAATTTTATTTTGTTCATAAATATAATTTTTTACGAATAGATTTATGATGTATCATTTTTTTCTACTGAACATATCATATAGTTAAGATAGCATAATGGCTCTAATTAGTATTAACTTATTGATTCATTCTTTTTATAGGTATTGAGTAAATTCAATACTAGTGCCCATGGGCGCTCGCAGGGGGAGGGGGGCAAGTTTGCCCCCCCTGGACTTTGGAAATATATTTTTAAAAATTATAACCAATCTGATTTAAATTTGTATAATCTGAAAATTTTATTTATAAAACAAAAAAATCTAACCGGATTTCTAGATGTATTTATTTTTATTGACTTAATGGGTTTTATCGTCATAGCCGTTACATTATTGTCGACCGATGGCAATCGACTAGTATCTAGTATATTTGAGAGGTTTTTATCAATTTGTACGGAAATTCCATAATGGAACGATGAGTGACGATCGACTATTCTAGTTTTATTTGTCAGCACGCTTCCTTCAATGAAACACGCAAACAAAGCTGCCTAAATACAGTACGTTCTATACTATACATTTATAAGTATTTTTATAGTAGGTTTTATTTTTATAAATCATAATTATATTTATATAGTCGATTGTCTAATATTATAATATTATGGACATCAGAAATTTTTTCAAAAACCCTAAGTTCTGTGATTCTGATAATCAACTCTCAATTTCAGTAATTGAAATAAATAATACAGAATCGTGTAAAGTTGAAAGTACTTCGGTTGCTATATATACAAAAAGTAATGTTATTAGTGATGAGATAACGGATGAAAAAGATATTGGAAGACATTTAAATCAAGAAAATATTGACAATTCTTTGAAATTCGAACTTTTGCGTCATCCTTGTGTCGTAATATGCCTAATGCTTTGCATTACGCATCTTACATTTATCAATGAAAAATGTATAATCTGTATTTTATATTACTAGTATACAAACAAATAATTAATTTATCTGTCATAACATATACACATTTGTACAATAGCTATTACATATGTATATATATGTTAAATTGATTATTGTACACTATACATCTTATCTTAAAATAATTATCCTGTTATGTTCAATTTAATACAATAAATTGAGAATCACTAAATGCGCTGACGACAACAACCCATGAAGGGGTAATTAAAAATAATATAAAAAGGCTTAGTTCTGCTTGCACATTAGTGAATGAGCGAGCGTGCCAGCGAGCGGCTCCAATTCTCTCTTCTTTTGAAGGCCTGAATTCAATAAAGAATTCAGGATTCTTCTACTTGATTTATTTTGAACAAACTAGCCGCGACCCCGTGTTGTCGTCGGTACATTTTACAGCGATATTGAATACAATTATTTTGCGTTAACACTTTATTTATTTAAAAGAGATAATATAAATATTTACGCAAACTTTGACGATCTTTGTACAAGCCAAATAAAAAAGTAAGTAAATTTATATTAACCCAATTATTTAGAATTAATAATCTGAGTAAAGAACGATAAAGCAATAGATCACATATTTATATTCAAACTTTATTAATTGTTGTTGACTAGTTCGTACCTTATACATAATCACATTACATGGTATTCGTGAGATGGCCACCGCCTCTTCGTTGCCTAAAAGAGTTTAAAACCTAATGTGATTTCTACTGTATATATAAACACTTCGACTGGGTATTCGTGAGATGGCCACCGCCTCTTCGTTGCCTCAGTGTATTATTTCAGGTACTTACCAGTTA